TCGGACGTTTCAACACGACATTTAGATCCTTGGTGACTATCACTGACTTTTCTAATTCTGACTAGGCAAGTAGTTGTACTGATAGACAATCTCCTTCTAATTATTGCACATTTATGGGTGGTAATCTTGTTACTTAGTGTAGTAAAAAACAAAATGTAGTTACACATTCAAGTGCAGAGACAGAGTATCGAACTATGGCTCACACGTGTGAAATGTTGTGGGCGCATACTCTACTTTTTTTTATGGTATGGGGATTAGTGTGCCTTCTCCTATGCAAATGCATTGTGATAATCAAACAGTTATTCTCACTGCCAGTAATCTAGTGTTTCATGAGCACACCAAACACAAAAAATTAGATTGTCATTTTATTTATGATCTCCTAATGTGAAATAAGATTATGACTCCATATATCAAGTCAGGTGATCAGTTAAGTGATATTTTTATCAAACCATGGTCTTGTGGTACCTTTAATAATTTTTGTTTCATACTGGGCATTTTTTATCTTTATGCCCTAACTTGAGAAGTGTTAAAGAGTTCTTATTTTTATGTTTTATATTTATGTAGGATAATATTGTAATTACCCTAGATAAGGTTCAATATAAATTAAGAGTGCAGGACAACACCACTCACAACTAATTATTCCTCTCAATGTCTCTCTCTCTTCCTTCCTTATTCTCTCCATCATAAACCCTAATATAAATTTTGTCATTCAACTAAGAACCCATCCACAAAAGCAAGTAGCATACATTATCCAAAATATCAACCCAAAATAAACATGAATGCCAATGTCAATACATATTACTGGCATGACAACTAACATGTTTTCCTACAAATAATAAGTCTTTTGCAATTATTTTAAAAACATTAACAAAGAAAGTAGCATTGGCCTAAGCATCTTAAAAGACAAGCCCATACATTACATTCCTCACGTCCCTTACATTCGACCCAGATAAACATCTAAATCATGCCAAAGTTGGCTCCCACCCCAGACTGCTCGTTCCTCCACAAGCAAGCTAAAGAAAATGTCAACCTTGATATTGTCAAAAGCAATTTTGTATGCTACCTCATGGTGGTGTGTCATACTAAGACCTTCAATTTTTGACAACTCGGCAAGAATAACACACCATGCGGTTGCAACATCCTACTCGTACCTAACTTTGTGCAATGCTTGCCAATTGATTTTCACTCGAAACAACATAATCACTGAACACCTTTGATATTTGAGTAAGACTTTTTTCCATTGCATTGCTCAAAGCACCACACTTTTTCTTTTTTAGCTTTCGAGTTTGAGGAGTGACATTTACATCATCCATTCCTCGTGCTACACTTTCTGAGCCCCCCCCCCCCCCCCCCCCCCC